GCAAACCGGATGTGCGTCTGGTTAACCTCCCTGCCTTTCCTTGTATCTTTATCTCTATCTCTCTATCTCTTTACCAATTTCGAAAAATGAATTGCGTGGTATTTTTAAGGCTACAACTTTCAGAATGAGCAAAGATGCTTGGTTTGACCAAAGTAAGAAGAGCTGTGATTTACATCACATTGATCCATTCATTGAATTCGAAATTACGTTGGCATTAGATAGAAGTATGGAAACTATTATTCACTGATTGAGGCTAGGCACCACATACACAAAACATTTTTTGCACAGAAATGGCAGACCTGAAACTCCCAAATGCGAATGGGTATTTGTAGATGAAGACGTATGTAACGTTCTCATAGACTGTCCACATCATGACACGCCGAGACACCGTCTGATATCGAAACTGTTGGCAATAAACCGCAGACCGTTCAGTATCAGGAAACGTCTGGGCCCGTGGCCAACTTGAATTTTACAGACGCACGCTTAAAAGCGTTAAACCGTTTTTTTACAAGACAACAGAATTGCTGACCAGTACTAAAAAAATAATGAACTTTCACTTGTATAACACATGTCGTACTTGTGCGCGGTATCATTTGTCACCTGTCATATGTGTGTGCTGAAGTGAATGACCTGTCGGCTGTTGTGTACACACGAGCGCAAACATCTTCATAGGGACCAGACGTGTGCTCTGCTGTTTTGTGTTAGTTGGATTGAACGTTAACGAAGGACATTATTAGAGACTTCATTCATTGACTTTCTAACATTTCCTTATCACTGTGTTGTGATATGTGCGTAGAGTGTGTTATTGCATATGTGTACTCGAGTGTTCTATTTTCTATGCAATGCTTTGCATGTTTTCTTTTGAGATGTGTTCAACTTGTAATCAAGGGCTACGGAATAGCCGGCACCATACTTGTGTGCCAGCACCCCCTTATTTTTATATCAATAAAAAACTGGGCCTTAACGCTTACCGCTTTTTGAACATTATGTCACTTTTTTTTAAAAATAGAAGAGGCAACTGCAACGTCAATATGGTTGTATAGTGCTAGAGGTGAGTGCGAAGGAGACGTGAAAGACACGCAGAAAAAACAAACAAAGCCGGAACGAAACTTGTCTACGGTTTCTTGTAAATTAGTTGGCCCCAACAATATTCTACGTTGTAAAATTTTACATCTTTTACTTATAGTTCCACTATAGTGAGAGTGAAGATTTTAAATGGTGATATTCCAGTAGGTGTTGTAAAACCTTTCTCTTCCTGATAATTTTCTAGGACAGCTTGTACTGCACGAGCTGTCCATAGAGGCTAAACTTTTCTTCAAACATGAACGCGCGACACACATTGGGTACTGGGAATAGAAAGACAAAACGAAACAAATCTCACACCAGAGGAATAACGTTTAGATAACAGGAAAGCTCAACCAAAACGAGAAACTATGCAACATTATGAAAAAAATGTCGCACATCTCTTGTATACGAATCGGTGTAACACGAAAGCGAAACGCGTCTTGACAGAGGTAGTTGAGCGTTTATTGTCAACTGTTTCGCCACAACAACAAAGCAATAAATACTACAACAACAAATTGCAGTGTCACAGAAAGAACGACAAGCAGGTCGAAACTTTCCGTGCCCAACTTAAGCAGAAAGCACGCATGAAATGGGCCTAAAAAGGACGAGCACGAACAACGAGCTGTCACAGCTCGACACTTTGAGCACGCTGCTCAAACAGAAAGACGCACTAAACAAACACACAAATATACACAAGACAAGCGTGAACAATTGTCACAATTCTTTCTTCTTCGTGTGTGAGTGGCGTGCTGCTTGCGTAAACGTGGCCGCGGCAGCGAGCGAAGGAACCTTCATGCTTTCTTTAACCCCCAACTTCAAAGCATACTTACGGTGAAAGCACCCAAATCTCGAGATAAGCGCACGCGATAGTGACTCACCCCGCCAGATACCATCTATACGCATTTTGACCACCATGTGAAGGCGCGTGCGCACGGCAACGCGCACGGTGGCGTGGGGCGACGACCATTTCAGCGAGTGTGCCCAACGTGCGCTTCTCGCACCATCTCGCTACTGATGACGAAAGCGCGCTGAAGTTGCTGAGCTCTGAGGACCACCAACGGTGCAGCGTGTATATAATTGCTTGTGGTTAACATAATTCGCGAGCTGCGAATGAAGAGGTCGCTGGTTCGGTGCCCTGCAGCAGGAGGTTTTGTTTTTACTGCGATAGCAATTATAATGACACTCTCGGCGGGATTTTGCCGCCGGCGTCGGCGTCGACGTCAGCGTCGATGTCATGCACCGTATATGTATACGTATCTATATATATGAAAACGCAAGAAAGAAGAAAATCAGAAAGAAGCCGTCCGCTGCGCGCAATCGAACGTGGTACTTCTGCGTCGTGAAATCGAGGCGTTAACCAATGAGCCAGCCCAGAGAACGTTCTTCACCGCTCAAACGGCAAGCTGTTTATATCTACCACTTACCGCTGCTGTGTTTTCGGCATTACCAGAAAGATGGCGCAGTGAGCGCACGTCGCCACATCGCGTAACGGCGCCAGCTCTAATCTCCTACGCGTACTTTGCCCGGCTTAGAGAAGGGGAGCGACGCTACCTCGCACGCCCTTATCTCGCGCGATCTAGGAGGGGAAAATCGGACGCCTTGGCTGGCCTCGGGCTTTACGTGGAACAATTCTGCTGTAGTTACCGGGCGCACAAAGGTTACTGCAATACGTGCAGTCTCCGTTCGCGAAAAGCACGTGCTTTTCAGACTTAGTGAAGTAACAATTGAGACGCTAATTCGCATGCTGCCGTACCTGTGAGTACGTTTTGTGCGCAATTTCTGCGTGAGAAACACTGGACACGTTTACATCTGCTTTCCATTCTGCATGTGACCTTTCAAATTGTTCCTACCGCGTTCATTGTTTCGCCTTTGTGGCAAAGCTGTAACTTTTTTTTCTTTGCAATGTATTTGGATTTTCTTTACAACGTCATATACGTGATGAAAGTACATCAGCGGAGCCACGGTGAACCCCGCCATAGAAGATTTTTGGGTTAAAACGTACATGAATATTATTGGAAAAATAAAGCTTACAGCAGAAGAAATGCTCATTGATAACTATTGATGATAATGTGAATAATACTAACGTAATTGAGTGGTAAACAAACTACTGAAGTCACCCTTGCTTATCAATCTACACAAAATGGAAGAAAGAAGCAGCATCATGGTAAATGATACACGCCTCACATCACAGATTGTGCTTGGCGAAACAAAGCTTAACTAAACGCAGCCTGCTAACAGCAGTCATTCCTGTCGCACTGTTAGGATCCGCGAAATAGACTATCACAAATGCCATTAATCTTACGAATCAATGAGAAAATGGTTTTGTTTTTATTCGTCTAGAATGGGTTATCTTGAAAGCTCAGATAACCAGCCATCGTGCGGCTTTCTTGGCTTGTTTCACTAGCTTCCGCTGATCCTTTTGGTACTGGGCAGTGATCATTATCCCCACAATTTTTTACGGCTCTTTTCGGCCTTTATGTCTTCGGTCATTTCTCAAGACTGATCAAGACTGATTATGATCAAGCTGATTCTGACTCAGGATCGTAGCTCGAATTGGGGAATGGAGCCCGAGTTGACTTGTTCTAGTCATTATTCTAGCTTCACATTTTCTTTGTTGGTCTAAGGCACCAAACCACATGAGGCGAAAAGTGTCGGAACGCTGTAGTAGCATAGAAATAGAAGATGAAAGCACGGTGGACCCCTATAAAAATTAATGTAACATGAAGGGAAAACGTGCCTACAAGGAAAAGAAAAATTGGCAAGTTCCACGCCTTTTCGGAATCGGCTTCGTGCGAAGCCTGCGGCAAGCAATTGTCTAGGGTGCATTTTTCGGCTTTGAGCCACATATTATGAAGTGCATGGATGTTTTTTTCGTAAGATGTGTTTTTTTTTAGTTTTCGCAATGGCACTTGTAACGTGGGAATTTTTTACTACGCGGTTAGGTTACTTTCAGTTGATTGTTGTTACCTTCAGTAGATCCGTTGGTCCTAACTCAGGATCGCGGCTAAAATTATGTAATAGTGCATGAGTTGGCCTTCTCTTGGCCAGCAGTTGCCACGAGTTTTCATCGTTTCCTCTCTTCATGTTATGTTTCTGTTGTCTCGGACCGTGCCTACAAAGAGGCCCTGCATTCAACATAATAAATCAGTTGTGACTTCAGCGCCGTGTACGTGTGTCCTTCCTAAATAATCAGTCTTTTTTTTTTACTCTGGTAAAATTACTTTATTCCTTGGTTCGCTAAGAACTGCTTCGTATTTAAAAATTCACAGAGTCTACGAATTCCGCTGTGACGACTTTAGGTCTAAAGCCACCTACTATTTCTCCTAAGTCATTATACTGAAAACCCCTTCCACCACCACCCTCAAGCATTCTGCAAATATGATAGTTTTCCACAAACTCCATGGTCAGGTGCACAGCCACCTCTGCTTTTGTCACTGTTCTAAGCTTGCTGTTCTTTGCATTTCCTCTCAGTGCGCGGCCACCACATACTTGCAACGGACGATCGAGTTTGCACGTGACGTAGTTATATATGGGAAAAAAAGATTGAACGAAAAAGCAACAGAAAGAAATTATAATAAAAGAAGAAAACGAAAAACAAACTGCAACGTAGAGTTGTGAAGGTGAAGCATGCGCGTCGTCTAATTAAGCTGCTAAAGATATAATGCCGTTAACGCATCGGATTTCCCACACGCTTTGTACAGCGCGATACCGAGGTGCTAAGTAGATCTTTGTAAACACGGGTCTGCTTTTTTTTTTTTCCTCTTTCGTCTGGTGAACCGATGTTGTGAAACTACGTCATAGTCTTTCCCCCATCACCCCGACATTGGAAACGGCGGATGTTGCGAGGAGAAGACAGAAGTCACACACTGGGAACTCAGTATAAATCCGAGCTAGAACGTCGGCGCTGCCTGATACAGTTGGGCGAAACTTCTTGCTACGAATAGTTGTCAGGTGAGTGACAGCTCTTTTACATCGTGTTTCATTATGTTTCCTTCGTGACCCTGTAGATACAAATTACCGTATAGCCCACAAGCTTCTCTTGCGTACTTTGTGGAAGAGTCTTAGCTTAGATCATTTGACGGATAGGAGTTGAACGAATTGACCTTGGGTGCCTATAGTTGTTGTAGAAGTGGTACTACAACAACTACTACTAGAAATAATAATAATAATAATAATAATAATAATCATAATAATAATAATAATAATAATAATAATAATAATAATAATAATAATAATAATAATAATAATAATAATAATAATAATATAATAATAATAATAATAATAATAATAATAATAATAATAATAATAATAATAATAATAATAATAATAATAATAATAATAATAACTCAACATGAGAAGTATGTGCCATAGGAATGGTATTTAAAGGCACGCCACAGTAAAGACCAACCACCGCAGCTTTGTGGTCACGGTTGTTCGACTGGTGAAACGGAGGTTGCGGGCTTGAATATTCGCCATGGCGGCCGCATTTCGATAGGCGCAAAAGTTTTAGAGGCCCTTGTGCTCAGATTTATGCTCTCGTTAGAGAACTTCATGTGGTCGAAATATCCGAATCCCCACTACGGTGCCTCCTATAATAATCGTGTAGTGGTCTTCAGACTTAAAATACCAGCAACTAATATTAGCAGTGGAGGGCTCGGCTAGTTTAGGCCATATAGGTGTTCTCTGACGAGTACCGGTTTTCCCCCGGTACATGGGCTGCTGGCATTTCACTTCCATCTAAATGCGTCTGCCGCGATCAGAATCGGCAGGCATCTGGATAAATGCGCGCGACATATTACGGAGGACGCGGCTTTTACTTGGGTAACAATGTGGAATACTAATCGATAGCACGATATACCTCTTGAAGCTTACTCTTGTAGAGCTAGTCTATCGTAAGGAAGTGTATATTTTACAAGTGGTAAAAAGTAGCTCCAAAACGTTGAATACGCTCTTGAGTTGGCTCCCGTGCTAGTAAACTCAATCTTAGGACATGGAAGAAGCAACATCAAAGACAAAAAAGTCGACATAAAAAGAAATTTAATATTTATCGTGATGCCAAAATAGTTATCAATGGAAGAAAATCTCAATTGAACGAAACGGCTTGCCTTGAAGGTAAGCAATGATTCCACAGTGTTTAGCATGATGCAGAAAGGATGAAACTACAGCAGAGGGTATACATATTACCCTATTTTTCGTATAATTTTCCTGTTTATTATTCGTTTCAGAACAATCAATTTCTTATCACGATGTGGACGTTCTGCGTAATAATGCTGGCAAGCGCCAGTTATGGTGAGTTTCTGGCGTATATGCACAAGTTTTTTTTTTTTGCACTTTGCGCAGATCGACGGCAATGTAACGTACTGCATGGCTTCGCAACTTCGACGGGATATCATTCTGGCTAACACAGTCAAATGCTTTTGTCATATAAACGAACCAACTCACGCTAACAATTGTATATGGTGCTAAGCATTCTTTATTAAATAGCAATAACGCCATGGCAATACATTTTCCTTGTCAGGATAGCTAATAGCATATTAATGAAGACGTGGTACTTAATGAGAAAGTTTAGGTACCTTCTCTTTACCAACACTGCGAAAAATTGGGACATTATTGGTAGAACAGGTATCAGTCAGTATAGCTTGCTGTCTCACCAACTAACAACACGTGCCACGTTTACGTCGCAGGGAAGTGTGCAAGTTTATAACATCTGAGCAATTATTATTGAGAATTGGTAATGAATGAAGTCACATGCCTAACAGGGACAGTTTCCACATCATCCAATCCAGAGGTGACGTTTTGTCTGAACCTGGAAATGAAGTGCATAACAGTTTTTACGCCGTTACCGGATAGCGAATAATCTAGTTTGCCAGTTATGTAGGAGCTAGCAACAGGATGTTAGTAAAAGCGTTACGACTATTCGAATGCACGTAGTCGACGCTGGTAAACAAATAATTGTTTTATTTCTATTAGGGCACGCGTGTGTGGGAATGGGTATCTTGCAGTTGCTATAACTTGAAATATTATTGGGGCTCACAGCCTAAGTGTATTAGGCGAATCATTGATTGCGTGTCATAGTATTCGTGGACGTTGTTATATTTTTGCCAACAGCCAAAGACTGGTAGTAGATCATTTTAATACCAGTGTTTTGTTTATAGCGGTATATATTGATCTTGCAAATAACGATATCGAAGGTAAGTTTTCTTTTTTAACCTCTATTTTGTTACAAGCTAATTAATCCAAGTATGGCATGTGTATTGTTTTTGTTTTCCATAGTAGGATGTAATAACAGTAACTACGTCTCATAAAAAGCAACATTTTGTTTACAAAACCTGTGATAGGCATGATCGCGATCACTTCTGGCGTAAACGCCATTCTGCGTTGTCATATCGGCATCAGAGTAAAAACTCTTGTGCGAAGTAGAGTGGATGTCACGGCATAACGTGGTTCCTTTCTTTCTTTTTTTTTTGCTTTTTGAAAGCTATATTAGTACAAAAGATATATGCACGCAACTCCAATAAGCACTGGAAAATTACGCTTAGGCTGCTTTTTTATCCTCAATCTTACTACCATCCAGGTTAGAAGCGCTGACGTAGGTCGATGACATATTAAATTCAGTGCTGGAATTGTAAATATCACATAGTTGTCATTATATTTTGGCAGCTCTAACTCTATTAGTTCGAATGCTAAAACATTAGAGTGGCAACCTTAAGGAGGCGTATTACACAAATCACATCTACGATCATCTTTGATAAGTCTGATGCTTCAAGTTTTATTGCTTTAGTGTTTCGGATGTTTCAAATTTTATTACAATTTTTTCCAAATGAACCTCCGCACTATTCTTGGTTTCTGTCTTCCATTTTTTTGTATTTATGGCTTTTCGTGGTTCTCAGAATGGCGATAATTTTCAGGTGCTTGAGCGTATATATAGGACTAGTTTTAACAATGATAATGGTCCTTGGAAGCAGACTTAGCCAGTGCAGTACTTCTTAGCCAGCGTTTTAACCAGCGCAGTATTTAAATGGCCGCACAAAAGGTGCTGCGTTCTCTCTTACACCGTACCTGTTTGATGTGGCAACCAACTCGGTCGTAATAAGGTTCCTTTTTATTCATGGGCCTTTTGTCGCATACACCCCAGCGTGATCACACTCTAACGAGATGCCTGCCAATGCATGTATCATTTTCAACAGTGTCGGAAGGCTCTCCCTCATCAAGCACGCCTTCATTTAGAATGCTGTTTGACCGTGAGTACTGCTGCTGTTCTCAGATTTTCATGTGCATAGTTTCATATTTTGAGCAGCGAGGTTTTTGTGGCTATCTCACGTTAACAAGTAATTTCAGCTATTGAAGTAATTTTTTAATTTGCAAAAAAAGTACATTGATGTTGTTGCAGCCCTCACTGCGTTTTTCCACGCTCTGCTTCAAGAAGCGAGGCTGAGCGCAGGTCTCCCGTTTGAAATCTTCGAATGTTTCATAGAACTATCCCGCTTACCATGAAAAAGAATTAAGGAAATTATTGACACTCCGGTTTGGCACAATTCAGGCAATAGTAATAGCCTCCCTTTTGCATGTAATATGGATGTCACTTGTAAAGAAAACACTTTCGTGACCACTGTGGAACTGAAATTCACTGCTTCCCCACTTAAACGAATACGTGTGGCTGTCTCTTTATGTAAGCAGCATCGGGTAGCTGGTTAGGTAGCATCGGGTAGCCAAGGCGCGAAGGTGACGAAGTGCTCTGGCTTGTCCTGGGTGATAGAAGGGATAACTTGTGTTCAGTAACTGTTCATGCAAGGTAGATGTAAGGGCTTTATCGTACCATGTATCAATCGGTTTAACAGACATTGGGAAAGGGACGTTTTGTAAAACATTGCGAGTGATACAAAAATTGCACTGCAGAGTTTCCAGCACGGGAAATATCTTCCCATTTACTGCTCTGCTGCTACCGTAACTGTCTGCATGCATCTCGAAGAAATAAGCGCAATAAAAGCAGTAATCTCGGCTGTACGTACATTCTTACATATACATATGTAAAATGAAAGTATACTTACAAGATGCTTGCTGCGTGCGGTAATACATCTAAGCTATTAAGCAGCCTGTCATTAAATGGCTTCTCGTATAGTAGCAATGACAGCTGAACGAGTTGGTGAAGGTGCCTGATGAAGTAACAGTATGACGCAAAAACACAAAACATAGACGATGAAGATGACACGAAGACAAGCGCTGTCTTCCTGTCGCCTTTATCGTCTGTGTTTCCACGTCTTTGCGTTGCACAGTCAACCAATCAGCGGAATTTTTTATAAGGATCACTAAATCTGCCTTTGTCCCAATGCTTGCGGTGCCACGACACAATGCGCACATAAAAACCTGTCTCAGCCGAAGCATAATCCACAGGTTACAGGGTAACATGTCCAATTTAACGAGAATAGTGCATTTCGAAGGGTTCGTTGAAAGAAAGAGTGTGATAAAGCAAAGACGAGGAAGTTAACCTAAGGAAAGCGCTTGTTAACTATAGAAAAGGAGAAAGTGGATATGAAAGAATTAATGGTTATGTCTATGATGACACGAGAATGTCGTTGAGCTCACTAATGCTGGTGTGAGCACAAGCACACCTTCTTTCTATGCCTACGCCTTTACTACTATTTACAGAGCTTTTGGGTACCTTTTGGGTAACATATGACAATTTCCAACATAACCTGCAGCGAACAGCACTTGACCAAGAATTCTCCACAGTGTGGACATTGCGTTACAAAAAAAAAAAGAGACACACTTTTTGAACGCTAAGTGCTGACAATATTCTCATCCTCTGGGTATACACTTACAGTGTCGCCGGCGGGCATCAGTGATGCGAACACTTTCGTGGACAACATCTTCAAGGATAATCAGCCACCACGCGTGAGGGGATCACCACGGCTTTACCCCTACGCGACCATTGGGGACTTCATTTTCACGGTAAGGTTACCACAATTAGTGTCAGATTTCTGCGGCGTTGCATAATCGACATCGCAGTTAATATTATTCAAACTTTCCCGTCTAACTGAGGAAAAAAACACATATGTTCGCTCCTTTAGGTGTCGTTGTCGATCAGTTCATCGCTTCCTCCACGTTATCCTTTTTCTAACTCCACGCATTGCCCGGCGAGTTTCTTCCCTACACAGTACGTACGTTTCACGTATATGTTGTGGACTGGAACGTTGTACACATTCGATATGTATGCGACATTTTCATGTTCCGTTTCTCTTGAAGCAAATGACCAGGGGCTGGCGATCGAACCCAGCTCAAGCCACCCTCTGGAACTAGGAAGGTTGCTTCATGTCTCGTGTCGTCGCGACATGCATTAATTATAAGGCATTATAACATGCTACAGTGGATTTGCCACTGCGTTATTGTGTTTGATGAACGACAAAGAAATGACATCCATTAAGGTGTCACTAAAGTATGCTTGTTTTCTGTGTGGCATACATCCGGCAGGTACCCAAGAACCGGATAACCAATCGGGACTTGACTGTGAACATGACACGTGGTGAAGTCCGAGGACTGGACACTGCTCTGCGGCGTAAAGGGGACTGTGAGGTTCCTTTCTTTCACAATGGGCGAACTGTCGTCTCTTGCGACCTTGTCATACAGGGACTCAACATTACGTTCACTTCGCTGGTACGTTGATTGGATATTGCGCTGTGCAGTGACAGCATGTTTTAATAACCTTCATTGATAACTTTATAGTTGAGAATAGCATTTACTAGAGGGTGCATTGCCTCAATGGACGATTGATTTTCGACTAGCGACCACACACACACACACACACACACACACACACACACACACACACACACACACACACACACACACACACACACACACACACACACACACACACACACACACACACACACACACACACACACACACACACACGCACACACACACGCACACGCACACGCACACGCACACACACACGCACGCGCACGCACGCGCACACATATACGCACACACACACGTACACGCACACACACACAAACACACACACACACACACACACACACACACACACACACACACACACACACACACACACACACACACACACACACACACACACACACACACACACACGGGGCACAGTTTCTCGACATTTCGAACTGTTCGATGACACCTTCAACAGAACTAAGCTGCCCTGCAACATTAATTGTCCTCCCAGTCCAATCTTTGCATAAGGAGGAAGTTCCCTTTAGAGGAAGCATTTTACCTGTACTTACTCAGAGAGCAGTAACTTGGAGGCTTGGAAACGGGGTTCAACCTAAATCGAGGATGACACAGCAAGGAATGGAAAGGAAAAGGTGTATTATCGTAAGAGATAGGAAGAGAGCAGAGTGGGTCAGGGAAGAAATTGGAGTTAAGAATAACATAGTTGAAATCAAACATAATGGACATGAGGCGGGCATGTAGAGCATTGACAGGTTAACTGCTGCTCTTAAAGGATGATTGTCTAAATTTTAAGAGAAGGCGAACGCGTGAGAGTGTGACAGAAAATTTGGGGGGGGGGGGGGCATATGAGATCTAGACGTTTGGATGTATGACGTGGTAGCAGAAAGCACAAGATTGGGCAATTGACGGAACACGGGAGAGGCCTTTGTTATGCAGTGGGTGTCAGCAGGCTGATGATTATGATGATGATGGGTTGAGAACTACCTATTTATTGTATCCGAGTGGTCGTTGCGAGGACAAGTTTAAGACATCTCAGCGAACGAATTCTTTTCGACTGGTACTTTCGGTTAAAAAAGCACAAAAGCCTATTCTAATCAACCAACGTCCCTAAGACGCACCTAGATAGAGCTACATGGAGCATTGAATGCATGCAGCTAAGCATCAGATCTGCAGAGAACGGGTTTGATTTTAAACATCTCAAAGGAAGAATTTTACTACACACAATGGCATTCGAAGAATCAGATGAAAATCATATACACGCTCGTTATTTGTTCGGCTTTAGAACGCTTAACTCCTTGCTCATTTATAACTAGCCATAAGCCAGCTGTCATCCTCGAATAGGCTGCTTTTGGCCAATGGCCTGAGCGGAAATCTCACCGAACGAAAGCTGGACGTATGCGATAATCTCCTCATGTGAGCTCAGCAGTCATCCATTGTTACTTCTTAAAGAACACAGCACATTAGGATGAGTAACAGCGATGTCAAAGAATCTGGAATCCAGTCATATAGGTACTTAAGTATCTGATATCACAACCCGGTGTTACCTCTCAAAGTAAGTGAGCTAATCATTTTGTTAATGCTCAACGTAGGTAAAAGGAGACTCCCTGATGGCTAGTTGGAAGACAATTTGGGTGAACGTCGATGTGGCGGACAGCAATGTTCATTTCGAAGCCATCATTCCTGTCGGCCCGGGCATCGGAATTCTCCGTGCATTTCATATTGTGGACATTATGCTCGACGTCACGTACGACAACAACCTCAGCCTCAACAAGGGTCGCAGTGAGAAGTTCAAGGAAGAAATCGCGACTAAAGTTGAGAAAGAGCTACGGCGCATTTTCTTTGAGTACAAGTCGCTTCTCCCCCGTTCTGTAGAGCTGTACAGGAACCCCCTCTATTAATAAGTACAATATGTGAGATCACTGCAGTGACCGCAGTGACCTTGGCTCAGTGTCACGATGAAGTGACAAGGTATTTCAAGCGTAACCACTCCTTATTGGTTTTCTATTCGAAACGCTCCTATTAGTCACTGCACTAAATTTTTACTATTACCTGTACCATTATTCGCTTTACTCAGTAATATCAAATACATCTTATGGCTTATGCGAAAAGAACACCTTTAGTGACGATTCTGTAACACTACAGTGGTTCCAGAACAAGCAACACGTTCCAGAAATAAAGAAACTATCCATGAATATGTTCGTGTCTTTACCTATTATGTGTCTTTGTCGTAAAGAAGAGGGCTAATATTGTGCCTCAGATGACGCGTTATGTAGTGCACCCATTTTGTGTTATCGAAGCAGTGCGGCACAGTCTAAAAGCACCAAGCTTTGGCACACACAATTCACTCAAAATTATTCCGACTTGTTTGCGAATAGAAGAGGCATAAGTTACATAAATGTAGTTGCTGCTCTAGTGAGCCACTCATTTGAGAGCCCCAAAGGAATGTCTGAACGCAAACAAACTTTTACATCAGAACGATTCTCAACATGCACATGCTCAGACATATGAGGTGAGCTTAATAAATATCTATTCATTGCTGACCCAGATACATTTGACTGCGAAAAAGTTTGTTTGGCACAATTATTTTACAGCGAAAGCTGTCATGAGATAACAACAAAGGTCATTTTTGGCACGGTAGTTGTGCACCGCCACTACTGTAACCAGTAGCGTACCTGGGTTTCCTGTGCGCCAGCCCAACACTCTACCGCTGAGCCACGCCGGTGCTCCGCGGCCAACTTGCCTGATTGACATGAGGGGTTTAACGTCCCAAAACCACCTATGATTATGAGAGACGCTTTTGTGGAGGGCTCCGGAAATTTCGACCACCTGGGGTTTTTTAACGTGCCGCCAAATCTGAGCACACGGGCCTACAACATTTCCGCCTCCATAGGAAATGCAGCCGCCGCAGCCGGGATTTGATCCCGCGATCTGCGGGTCCGCAGCCGAGTACCTTAGCCACCAGAGCACCACGGTGGTGCGGCCAACTGACCTCAGGCAGGCTTCATGTAAGGAAAGGAACCGCGTTAATATGAGTAATGAAAAGCTTTATAACAACAAAGGAACAACCAGGCGTCATGTAATAAAATCATGTAACGAGCGGGTTGTCAAACGCTCCGACCCAACTCCAGCACAATTCCTCATCGACGTCAGTCACAGCATGAAAGAAGTGCACAAAATTCCTTGTGAGTGTGTAGCGGGTACCAGGCTTCTCCGAAGAATGACGAATGATGGCGTGTGAATGCCTCTCTATTGCACCAAAATTACGATGATTTATGACGTAGTGGGGACACCGTAACTGTGCTTGTAGCAGTTACACAAAGAGTGTGTAAAAGTGGCGAACTTTTAAGCTTTTTCTTTGAGAGTTGAACACGATAGCGATAGCCTGTTTTTAGTGCTTACTTCAAACACTTAGAGCACCCAATCTTTTTGAACGGACCGGCGTTTAACGGTGTTCGGCTTTTAACCATAAAGTCATTAAGATAATCACATGTTCTGACGCCCGATGGCAATTTGTCCTTGTACCATGCATTTTCATTGCAATATTTAATGTTGTACTACGAAAAATGCATATACAGAACCCATTTTCTTGAAACGCATCTGTTACTTTCACTGCATTTATAAGCAAAAGAAGTCACTTTCACTATATTCACAAGCACACGCGAGACTGTGTGGTAGAGCACCGCTTCCCACGCAAACTATCCGGGTTTGATATTCACTCGAACCCAAACGACCCGAGTTCAACACCCACTCTGACCTGGGATTTTTTATTATCTACTTTAGATATATCGTTTTTTATTTTTCGGTCACAACCAACGACGCCGCCGCAGACGCCATAATTTCTGCGAAACGAGCTCTTTAACACTATCGCGTTAAAAAAGGCTCTTCCAGCTTTTGCAGTGACTGTGCTGCGCGTTGCACGAAAGCTTGATGGTTTCGACATTTAAATATTCATGACGCACAGTTGTACACTTTTCGAGGCATCCTTGTGCAAGTTTGAGCACCTTGCTTAGAAATGTCAGAAACATGTTGACATATGCACGGTTATTCTTACTGCAACAAGCATATCTGAAAGCCTTAGTTCCTTATGCGGGCTAAAAATGTAGGACAGTAAGATGTTTTTAATAAATAAGTAAGTAAATAAATATCAGTAACAGCATCTCACGTGTATCAACCTCCTTCGTCTACAACGAGGAGTTATCTTTTTTTTAAGTTGATGTAATTTAGATGTAATGGACTTTCCGCACCCCCTTCCGAAAGCCCCATGAAACAGACCTTGTTTGACAATGCCTCCAAACAGTAATGTCGTATGATAACCACGTTAAGTGAATGTCCCAGTGAGGACATGAAAACGCCATAAACTTACGCCATCTTTAACGCCATGATGACATCGTGTCGGTAATTATTTCCACCAATGATAATTATTTCCACCGATTGTGTTGACGCAGCCGACATGGGACGTCAACGCAGAACGCCGGTGAATTTTCTAGTTCTATTAGGTATCTTATACTGGTGTAAAAACAGCACTTTTATTCAGTATCAGGGTGATCCAGATCGGTTTTCTGAATAGTGATAAACTTATGGCTGCTGCGGCACGGTCCAAGCTGATGCGGTTCTAGCTTGGGTCAAATTAAGCGTACCAGGGGGTGTTGACGAGCCCGATAACCTGCAGATAAATATTAATAATGAGAACTAACAAACAATGATGCCAAAAAAGCATAGCAGATAATATTAGAAGTAACTGCACCATGAATGTGCAGACAGGAAAGTGGACGAATTCGCAACTTTCACCGCTTAGAGAGGGCGTTAGCGCAAGCCCAACATGGCTGTCGTTTGGGGGATCGTGCAGCCGGCGTGCCGGCCGCCGGTGTGCCCGTCACTTCAAACTGCGTAATATTTTCGGCTGCAGCCACCGTGTTGTCAAGGCTTTGCTGAGAAGGTCATTGACTCTAGCATGCATTATATTCGACACTTCGTGTTGAGAAACGCGTGTGTGGCGTATATTGAAGGAAAATAAGTTTTGAACGCTGGGCACATCGTCTGCTGCGGTGTGAAGTAATGCACGTACAACTTTGTGAACGCTGCTCGTGCCATGCCCCGGGAAGATCGAGCGACCGCGCTCGTGCAAGGCAGGAAACTTCGCCTTTGACTGCACGGCGTCTGCACAGCGGCATCCAACATATTTTGTTATTCTTCTAGCTCAGGAAGCAAGCAATAAAGAGTAAATCATTGCTACTATGACTCGAAATACCTGTCCGACTTCAGAATAACCGTAGTAGAAATTGCCATTCGACAAAATATAAAGCACCGGTGAACCGCCTAAGTGAGGCCGACTGAACGATGGCATAGGCTGGCTGCGTGGACATCCCCCAAACGACAGTTACGACGGATGCCGCATGGTGACGCCACCATCTGTGAAAGTTGCGAGTAGTCAACTTGCTATCAGTATCAGCAGGACCCGAACCTGTGCCATCCGCATAACACATCCGACGCTGTGCAACTGAGCCACGGTGGCGTTCATCTCCACCGCTTTCTTTATAGGGTTTAACGTGGGAACTTCAGCCAGTGCTGGCTGTTGCCATTACGACGAGTGTGGAACACTCTTTGGGCCAAGTAACAGTACTTGATACGTGTTGGCGCTGATCGCTATTCAAAGTGCCCATGAGACGACAGTAAAAGGCATTCAAGTTAAAAACTATTGTTTATTTATAGAGTTCGGAAACATTAGTAATTAGGTTATTCGATTTCACTTATATCAGTTACTGTAGGCTTGGCTTTAATTATGCGTAATAAAGCAACGAAAGATAGCAGTGACAATTAGGTATAGGGACAAATCGTACATGGTATGAGAAGCCTTCAGTAGAGTGAGGCGCATGCAATTTACTGCGTTCGTATTATTGACTATATTGTTGTGAGTAAACAATACAACTGAATGCTTATGAATACTGTCAGTACCAGCCAACTCTTATCAAACACAAGCAGTAAGAAGCAATAACCGACAGTCAGTAAAAATTATAGCGAATGATAAACAGACTGGTCGACAGACACGAGAGGAAGTTCGAAAGGTTCGCTCGGGGAACAAATAATGAGTGTTACTACAGACACGAAAGCAAAGGACAAGGCAACCGAAAATGCTGACTGTCAACTGATAGGTCACACTGTGACGGAAGAAAAATAGACACAAAACTTCCTGCGGAAGCTTATTGCTGGTGGAAGCACAACTTCAGTATGGCATAACAGAGAGTCTGCACATGTGAGATAACTGTTGCTAACAAGCATGACACATCTTTTCTCCGCTCAAAGAAACCAACGGCTGCTCAAGCAAATCTTTGCACGAGTAATGACATGCGAAGACTCAACAAAGGGACGTTCTTTTCTATTTTCGTGTCAGCATGGAACGGAGCGATAGTCAGGGCATACCTCTCTCCCATACACCTACAATATATAAGAAAGCCGAGCTTTTTGCCCGTGAAAAAACTGAAAACTGTGCAAAAAAACAAAGAGGACAGTTTTCACTAAGTCATGCAAAGGGGCAAAGCTTGGCACAGTAGTGGACGGGCTTGTCCCCGCTCTTGCTCTTGTTGTTGTTGCCCTTCCCTTGTGGCTCATACCCACTGTGGGAGATTGGCCAATGATTGAGAGGTTTTATAAAGGTTTTATCTAGATCTTAGACTAAAGGAACTTTCAAACTGAAAACGTTACAAATTTTAGAATAAAGTTTTGAAGATCACTGATCTGTACTTACTGTAAAGTTTTTGTATTAGTTATAGATAATAACCTAGATCAAAACCTAACTTAACAAAAGAAAAAAAGGAGAAGTTATGCGTATGCCGACACCGAAGAAAAATATTAGTTTGTTAATCTTTCCGTTTCATTGAGATTATTCCGCACTGCCTCGCAAACTTTCGCACTGGCAAATCCAGAAATAGAGGCTCCAAAGGACAGAATTCCGGCCATGGATCAATTCATTCCAAAAGCACGTAAAGGATTTTCTAACTTGGATCTGCGAGCTGTAGTAAGTCGTCTACATGTCGAAAAGTAATGATCTAGAGTTAGTGGCTCGCCACAGAAAGCGCACATTGGAGAAAGACCCTGACCAGACCTGTGTTGGTAGAAATTTAGTTTGGGCACCCTACAGCACATCCTCGTAATTGCGACTTCTAGTTCACGTGTGTCAAAAGGATCGGTGCCAGGGAT